ATCGAGGATAGATGTAGATGTCTATGGGCCACAGTAACCACTTATCATCAGGTGGACTCGTTTGTCACCCTATCCTATAAAAAAAAAAATTCCTGCAACAAAACAAAATATGTTCGCAGAAAGCGGCACATAACGTCTTCAAAAACTTTATAGAGTAGACTTTTTAAAACAATCGCAAACAAAGATATATAATCTTCCCTTGAAATGCATAATAAATGTGTTGATAAGAAGATTTTATGTACAAGTAGTACCCGAATGACCGAGCTTTGCTCGGTTTTTTTTTTTTTTTTTTTGAAATTAAATTTATAAATTACATACTGATGAAATATAAATAATATTTTTTGATCTTATTGACAGAATAGAAAAAACGGAACTGGTTATTTTGAATAAAAAATCATGAGTGCAATTAGTTTTATTAAAATTTTCTTATTTAAAAAAAAACTAAAAAAAGGACTCGAAATAATAGATTTTCTCACAAAAGAAGGGAACTTGAAAAAAAAGGAAAGTCGGACCCCAGGCAGGACGCGAACCACAGAACTTCGATATCACGTCCCACCGACATGCCACCTAAGCTATTGCGATCATTAGTTACATGTCAAAATTTCCTTTTTATATTACAGCAGTTTTTTTATTGCCTGAAAACACAGACAAAAGGACATTTTCTAAAAATAAATCCTAGCTAGATCGATTTATTGCTCCCGAAACTCCCTGGTCACTAAATTTTATGAAAATTGTTGGAGCCGTTTCCGAGATTCCGATTATATATATATATATATATATATATATATATATATATATATATATATATATATATATATATATATATATATATACAAGAATTGCTCGTTTAAAGGTATAGGATACAATATATTATTTTCTTCGAAAGACAAGTGTTTGAATTTTTCAATAATGAAATGGCCGGAATAGGCCATTTCATACTTAGCCTTCAATATTGTAAATGACACGAAAACCATCAGTCGCATGTATATACAAAATGTAAAATATTACTTCATCGATTACTCGTTATCACATACGACATTTGAATTTTTATACGCGGTAGACCAATGCTGCAGCTATAATATTATAATGATTGTAGCACGAATGGGTCGGCTCGACCGGGGAAGGATCACACTCTCACAGAATACGAGCGTAAAATAGCAGCGTGTTTCGTATGGTGAGTGTAGAGAACCGGAGACCTTTATTTTACTGAAAAAAAGCATTCCATTGTAGTCCTCAGGGGCGACAACGCATCTACGTTTTGATTCTTAATCGAGGATAAATGTAGATTTCTATGGGCCACAGCATTCACTTACCATTAGGTGGACTGCGCGCTAGTTTGTCACCCCTATTCTATAAAAAAAATTAGATACTTTTCCTAACTCATGTATGTAAATCAACGATAATAAGTATCCGCGCCATCTATTCAAGCAATAAAGAACTTCTATTCAAACAGCTTTATTTGAAAAGTTGCGACTAAATTACGATTGGAACCTGGTTGACAAATGCACTACTGCGTGAGGATTTACAAAAGGTGTAATTCGTCGCAACTATAAAATTATAAATTTAAGTTACGACTTTATGAACATGTCGGTGGTTTGATTTAATGAATGTTTCTTATTGTAAAAAGTACGTTTATGTAGAATTTTGCGTTTTAATTTTTTTAAACCATGTTTTTTTAGAGTAATGTCACCAGATGACGCTACTTGTCCTTATGGAATACTTTTTACTGATTTGAGTTTTTTAATTACGGAAAGAGTAAAAATATATTTTGAAAGTCTTAGATATATACTCTACAAATAAAAATAAATCAAAATCCGTCTTATTACAAAACGTAGTTTATATTAGTCTCAGACTTAAACTAAAATCTGTTTCGCAAAAGATGTCATGTGTAAACATGTGAACTAAAATGAAAAGTAAAAGTTACAGCCTATACGTCTCACTGCTGGACACAGGCCTCCTTTCATTTCTGAGAGGGTTTTTGGGCAACGAATTGTCCACCGTGCTACTCCAATGCATGTTGTCCACAGATATCGGAAAGAAGGTGGGCGGACTTCTCATGTCTTGGAGTTTTTTTTATTTCTAATATATTTATAAAATGTAAAGTACTTATGGAATTTGACAGCAAATATCAAATTTCAGAAAAAATGGTGCCGCGGCTAAAGAACCTATTTCGTTAGTCAAAAAGACTCTTCTCAGAATCAAGCATAACCCGATCTTCGGTCGATATAATTGGATAGAAATCGGTCTTTCTAACAAATCCTACAGTCGTCTTTTACCACATGACGAGGCGAAATGGAGTGAATAATTCTCTAGAGCTGCCACCAGACGATAAGATACTTCACTATCACATAGTAAAGCCATACTGCAGCCTTATTATATTTGTAGCACAATAAGTGGGCACAACCTGACTCGGAAGACCAAGCTCTCACAGAATACCATCGTAAAATAGCAGCCTAATACTGCTGTGATTCGTATGGCTTTTTTACTGGACATGAGGCATATCACCTTAGTCCTCAGGAGTGACGACTCGTCTGCTTATTGATTCTCAAACAATGATAGACGACACACCACTATGGGCCACAGCATTCACTTACCATGAGATGCAAAATATGTTTAAGGTATCGGTAACGGGGAATTCCGTCGTATTTCTGAATAACAACGAATTTTGGTTTTAATTCTTAATCAAGAAAAACATTAGGTGTGCTCTTTGCATGTTTGTGCTCTCCTCCTTCGTCTATACAAAATTACATATATATACAAAATTGACAACTTAAAATACTTACTAAGCCACTTATTTAAATACCAACACTTAATTAGTATGTTAAGCCACTTTATACTGACTGACAAAATAAAATAAGATCTTCTCCCGTCTTTTTCTACACTTCTCAGCGGCTACTTGCCGCCGGCGCGCCCCTATATCCCAAGGGGGCGTATCGCGTTCGATACGGCTGAATGACCTTAACAGGTTATAGCCATTCCCACAGGTGGTGGCACATAACCACGCAGCCGGCTGCATGGTACGCATGAGCATTCACCGCCTCCCTCCCCCATTTTACCGGAGGGTGGCCCTTATTGCATCTGGGCGCGAAAAAACCGTCTTTTTCTAATATAGCATGACAAAATGTAAATTGTATGATGATTCCTTTTACACTTCCATAAGATGATTCTATTGGAACTCCAAAATTTTATCTGCCTAAGAATCAGTAATATAAACAGTCATTAATACAAAATCATTGTAGTCCTTTGTGGGCCATTTGTATTGTGATAAGATACAAACTCCCTTTGTAAAAATAATCGAACGGCCTTAAATGATGTCAAACAATCGTCAAATTATAGAGTAAATATAGAAGCTACCACTTTTATTGTCTGTATTTTACTCACAGCTTAACGACTGCAGTGTAACAGTGTTTAAATATTTTATCGAGTCATTGGTCATTCTCGTTATTCTCTAAAGTGTCATGTTACGTTTCGCACTTCTACTGTGTCTGCATACACGCTTCTAATTCATGTTTTTAATAACTTAGTTTTAAATTTAAACGAATCATTTACGTAATCGCAAGATATTGTGAACGTCTAAATCTTCGGTAAGATTTTTTTAAATACAGTGCTCCTTTTAATATAGTCATACTTAAGATTGCGTAAAAGTAATAGTTTTATTATTTTACAAAGTGTATTATTGGCTTTATAGGCACCCGCCTGCCAAGCGTGGCAACTATGGCAAAATCCCCCCATGAAATGATCTATGGGGAGGCCTATGTTAAGCAAAGGACTTTTATAGACTGTTATGGGTTAATGGATAAATTATGGGCAAAGAAATTATTTAATAATATTTTTAATTCCCGCTGGGTTTCTTGCTGGTTCTTCCCAGGACAGAGGTTTTTTTTCGAACCAGTGGTAACGTAAAATATTGATAAGAATTATTTGTAATTTATATTGAATAAAAAGTTATTCTATTCTATTCTAAAATGGACTCTTTAAAATGTGTTCGTCTACTTTTCCCCACTAATTGTTTCTTGGTAGGACATAATATTACACTGTTATAATGAACCTCGACCACTTTTCCCCACTAGACCTGGCATAATGACGAAATGTTTAAAAAAATCATCAAAATTCAATAATTGTGAAAAAGTGGAATAAATGTACAAAATAGGGCATGAAATTTTTAATATAAGTATTAAGACAACATTCTACCTAGTTGTTACCTTGTGATAATCCTGAATCTTCCAAAAAGATTAATAAGTTAATAAATGTTAGAATTAAAAATATAATTTATTTAGAACTAACAGGCCAACTGTTTTTGTGGTTGCTGAAAGCGAGGGAATAGAGAGTGCACTTCTGCCTGTGAATGCACATGGGTACAATAGTGCTACCCTAAATATGTTAAACCTGAGATATTTTTAGAGTCTGCCCTTTAGCCTGCCCTTTTAGGTAAATGACGTAATGAGTTTCACTCGGATTGACTTGGAACTATATACTTACAAAGTAAATATATTTACTACTCGACCAACAACTACTGGGTTGGGATTTTGTAATCCCTTTTTTTGCACAGTATTGATATAATATAATGGTAATATGAGTAATTTCTTTGTCTTGAGATAACTAATTTGATTACAATCGATCAAATCGTTCAAAAATTACTCGATGACTAACAGACGCGCTAACGGTTATATATTAAATAATACAAAGATAGAAGACATATTTAGTATTATTTTATGATATCTGTTTTAAACTTAAAGTTTTAATTTACGAAGTGTAAGTACACCCTTTCTGCTCACTGGTCTATCAGGATAGGTGCTACCTTCTCACCTATTTCAACCAGCAAGTAGCAGCGCTTGCACCTGGCTGCAGGTGTCCATAGGTAGCAGTAGCCACTTAACATCCAGCGGGCTGTAAGTTTGTTTGTTTGTCAAGTCAGTTTAAAAAAAATCTTGATTGTAATAAATTAACGTTAACAATATATATAAAAGTTTACTTCTATTTACAGGTAACAGTCATTTAAAATGGATATTCCTATATTAAGTAAGTGTCATAATAATAGGTATTTCACTCTTCAACTGTTTAAATACAGGTAGAGATAATTTTCCTATTCATCATCATTAACCCGTGGAGATTTTTGGCACTAGGCTGTTATAGTTCTACCCCACATACAAGGAAATATTTGTTTTTATTTGAATTTAATTTCGTCGCTATTCATAAGTGGAATTGAGATAGCATTACTAGAAGTTTAGCACAACTGACGCTATTCCCAGTGACTCAAGTGTGTGTCGCTGTCACCGCCATTTATCGAAGGCCATTTGATCTACCCGGAATCTCCCATTGTCGCCTCTTCGAACCATGATACGAAATGGGTTGATCGTTCTGACTTTTATGCAGTAATGCTAATAAAACTGCACGTAAAAGAGATCCAAATAAAAGAAAATAGAAATGAATAGAAAAAACAAAAAGTATTTTAACCTTTGATTGTATATGTGTCTAGCTTTGATTATATACATGTCTAGATAGAGTATTGCGCTACAATCACACAAACAATCGTAACAAAAACAACGGGTCCGATTTCGAGCGCTTGTGTGCTCATTACACACACAAGTATATATTTTTAAGAGCGTCTGTGATTACATCCCAGACTCTCTGTGATATATCTGCCTAAAGCGTGATTCTATTTTACGCGCGCGACCAAACTATGGCTGGGATCTACGTCCGATGGGCACCACAGAAGATGGGATAGAAAATTACACTCCCTGAAGCACATCAGTGATAGAATCAACAACAACGCTGGGATCGCCCGGTGAGAAGCAAATCCACCTCCAAGAGTGGGATGCAAAAAAAGACCGAATCCTATCCCAATCGGCCGACCTATAGTGCCAAACACGGCGGCAGCCTGCAAAATGCATCCGTGACGTTAATGTGACTGGCACCACACACCGGACAAAATAATGATCTGACGAGCCTGGAGGGGCGCCGACGGAAACCTAATATCCATCCGGATGAGAGGTCAGCGGAAGGTCCAACAGAGAAAGTAATCTGTTGTTCAGGTGTTCCACGTCTGAAATTGACGTAGGCGCTGTAACCAGTTATGTCAGACCATATGCCAAGGCAAAGTCTTAAAGAGATGTGTATTACGTATAGTTGCCCCTTACAACACCACCCACATGTTATATTCTATATATAATAGTATCTAATATTAGTCTTATATTTATTATTTTCGGTTTCTAATTTTAATAATATTAATCACGATGTAGGAATTAATACTGAAAACAATAAAAACAACACAATCAAAAATTTCTTTTAACTACATTATTTATTTTAAAAGTTATGCTGTACTCGTATAGTGGTGGCATAAGAAAATCCAACACCGTATTTCATACCTTTGATATCGGAAGACTCGAATTCCAGTAAAAATCTCATCAATTCATATACGATTAACACGACGATAGAATATATAGACGATATAAAAAGATTACATCGTATAATTTGTTTGTTTTAAAACACCCCAATGAGAAACAGGAGCCAACTAAGGTGCGAGTTATCAACATTTGTTCCACCAAGCCTAGCCAAATCTAAACCAAATCCTTTCTAGTTTCTACGATAGAAAAGAGGCATAATCTAATAATAGAATGTGACGAGCTCTTAAAGTGGTCAACCTTTTACATGATAAAGTTGACAAATTTAGTTGCCACTTTAGTCAAATAGCAAAGGTAGACGCGAAGCTTTAATATGGCCCCCATATATCAAAACTAGCAGGCAGACTTAGTTCTGCAGCATGTGCTGCAAAATGATTCGAAATCTTACCATTGTTGAAACAGCTAGACTAGTTTACTTTTGCTATTCTCATAGCATAAGATCGTATGGTATTTTGCTATGGAGATATGCGACTGACACTGAAATTATATTTTGTTTTACAGAAGAGATGCATTAGAGCAACCTATGATTTAAACCCTAAAAAAACGCTGTGCCAAAAATTTGTGGAAATGAATATATTAACTTTGGCCTCTAAATACATGTGTGAAAATGTAATGTACGTACACAAAAGTAAAAGCAGTTTTACAAAAACAAGTGATATTCGTTCTGTAAATATAAAAAATTGACACAAGCTAGTAGTACCAGCTACTCTACTCCACCGAATCAGTAATTCAAGTAGTTAGTCTGTACCAGTTCTGGCTCACGAGCCAGGTGGGTCGACGGATCCTAAAAAAATGTATTGGCATACTCTGATCACGAATCTGCGGTCCGTTTTTGCGTAACTTATATCTAATTGATATCCGGTGGGCCTGTACCCTCATTAGCGTTCTATTGTGTTCAACCTTTCCTCTTATCTATTGTTCCTTGAACACCGTCATTGCTGCTCTTATCTATTACTCGTTACTCTGTTTGGTGCTATTGTATTATATCTATCTTCTTTGTCCGTAACTAACACGCTATTCTGAATCACCAGTGAAGTTTTATACGTGGTAGAGCCATGCTGCAGTTATATTAGTAGTATAGTTGTAGCACGAATGGGTCGGCTCGACCGGGGAAGGACTACGCTCTCACAGAATACCAGTGTGAAATAGTACTTGGTGCTGCTGTATTTCGTATGCTGAGTGTAGAGAACCGGAGACCCTTTTTACTGGAAACGAGGCATTCCATCTCAGTCCTCACGGGTGACAACGCATCTACATTTTGATTTTTAATGGAGGATAGATGTAGATGTCTATGGGCCGCAGCAACCACTTACCATCAGGTGGACTGTGTGCTCGTTTGTCACCCTATTCTATAAAAAAAACACATTCCTTTATTTTGTTACAATTTTGAGTCAGTGTATAGTCGTTTAACAGCAGTTGATCTAATAGTCTCTATCTAGTGTTTATATTATATTCAATATATATATATATATATATATATATATATATATATATATATATATATATATATATATATATATAATCGGACCAAAAATTAATATTCAAAAACTGAAGGTATCCGGACTAACTATGACATTGGGACGTCAAACATCTCAGTCCCCCCCCGTGACCATGGTTGCTGTAAAGTACCCGAAACGTCGGGAATTAAAAATAAGTAAAAGTAGTGAAATAAACGCGATAAAATCCGTAAATTTAGTTTTATTCAATGTGTAGTGTTCGCGTAAATTTAAGAAATCATTAAACAGGCAATTTGTTGTAAACATGTATAGCCATACAATATACATTTTTTGATTAGAATTGTATTCTTTGCTTTGGTACACACAATTTATGTATATTTCTACTAGTCCTAATTACAACATCGTTGTGTTTTTCAAATAAATTACTATTTTTGTGAACAAAGATACAGATTTCATAAACGTATAATGCTGGAAGCGGCAATATTTTATGTTTGCGAAAAAGGGGAATACAACTATCTAATTGGTGTGCTCCGCATATAGACCTTACACATTTTTTCTGTCCACGAAAATCTCTAATGAAATCGACAGAATTACCCCATATTATTAAGCCGTAACGTAGGATCGAAGAAACATATCCATGATAGGCAGAGAGTGCGGCCTCCATGTTAGCCACTCGTCTTAACCGATATAAAAAAAATACGTGTGGCACTCGGTGACTGCCGCGGTAAAGCTATTGCATAGCATTTTATCAACTTATGCAATTATAATTATTTATTTATTTTATTTATGCAGTTAAGTCTCTGATATTAAATCAAGTTACACTTTTTGAGCGTGGTGACCGATAAGAAAACAATTTTTTTTCTCTTATTGAATAAATGAGAAGTTAATATTGTTTAAAATATTTTTAATATCTTACAATACATGTAGGTTATTCAGGAAGTTTTATCATTGAGTTAGCAGCTAGTGTACACGCATACGTCTAGTCGCACGCACCCAAACACCGTGCCGAACTCTGCCGAGTGCCGAAGTCTGCCGAACTGAAACGACGTTAGACGATGCACGGCTTTCAACGCCACACCTCCGTGCCCGTCGGAGTGGGGAGCGTGAGGTTTTTTCGTTACGGAATTTCTGGATTCGGTCCCCGCGCTCAAGGCCCGCGATAGAAGCTATGCAATAGCTTAACAAAGACAAATTTATCTAACTTTTTACATAAGCTATCAATATGTGTCTTCCAATTACAGAACTTGTCTATTGTTACACCGAAAAAGGTATTATGGTCAACTTCTTCGATTATGTTTTTCCCATATTCAATTTTAAGTGGTTCTTGTTTACTATTATGTGTCTGAAATCTTATCATCTTAGTTTTTTCAATGTTAATTTGTAAATTATTATGTCTTAACCAATCTATTATTGTTTCCAAGGTCCTATTTATTTCATGTTCGTAGTCAAAACATTTATTATTGTTTTCAATATTAATGGAAATGTCATCAGCATATAGCACACATTTATGAGTAGTTATGTTTCAAAGATCGTTGATATAGATTATAAATAATAAAGGTCGTAGTATACTTCCTTGTGGCACTCCGCATTTATTTTCGCAATACTGTGATCTATAATTTTTTCTATGGCGTCCTGAGTAACTTGAAACCTCAACGCATTGTTTTCGTTGACTTAAATAATCTTGTATTAATTTTAATGCATTGCCTCTTACACCATATCTGCTTAGTTTGTGTAACAATAATTCGTGGTTAACAAAGTCAAATGCCTTGGACATATCAATGAAAATGGATGTTATAGGTATTTTGTTGTTTAGGCTAGTTGTTATTAGTTTTATTAAGTTGAAACATGCTAAAGTAGTTGACTTTTTTTGTAAACCCATATTGCTCTGGTTTTAATATTTCATGTTTGTTAAAGAAGTTATAGATTCTGGTATGTATGGACTTTTCAAACACTTTTGATAAAACAGATATCAGTCTTATGGGCCTATAATTGTTTATGTCATTTTTATCACCTTTCTTGTGTAGTGGTTTTACGACAGAAAATTTTAGTCTAGTTGGGATGCCTTGAACAAAAGATAAATTGATAATGTGAGTTAGTGGGAAAGACAAATATTTGGAGCATTGTTTTAAGATTTTAGTACTAATATCATCATAACCTGTAG